CATTAAATTCCAGTGAAATATATTTATGTTTGTGGTTGTAATGTGACAAAATATGGAAAAGTTCAAGGGGTATGAATACTTTTGCAAACCACTGTAGATACAAACAGCTGAACTGAGCCACTATAGAGAAGTGCCTCCAGGTTGCAATATATGTAGAAACTAATCACTTATTATTTATTGTCTTCTGAACCAACTCTTTTACTTTTATCTGTTTTCTGCTGCTTATCGAAGCCCAGGCATCCTTCTCCCAACAGCACTCTCCGGCTCCTCCAGGGGAATCCCCAAGGCGCTTCCAGGACAGAGAGGATCCCTCCAGGGAGTTCTGGGTCTGCTGCGGATTCTCTTCCCAGGAGGATGTGCCTCGAAAACCACCACAGTAAAAATGCCCCGGAGGCCTTTTAATCGGATGCCCTAAACCACCTCAGATGACTCTCCTCAATTCAGAGGCAGCAGCTTTACTCAGAGCTGTGAGGCTCTGGGAGGTTTCGAATGACTCACAGGTAATAAAAAAAAGACGCCTGGTGGAGAAATTAAAAGCTACCTGCAGCAGATGTTTTTACACTTATTCAGCAGTGAGCAGCAAAGTCTATATGTTTACTGCTGTTTGTGTGATGGACTGAAGAAAATTAACACACTTGAGGTTTTTCTTTCAGTTGATCTCTTCTGCAAGGTTCACAAAAATAAAAGATTTGGCGATTTGTTTAACACCAGATGCCCTTCTTGATGCAACCAGGTCTACAACCTGCAGCCTCGGGATTACAAGACCTGTTCAGGAGTTCTGATAAATCCATCATCAAGAAATGAAAGGAATGTGGGGCATGTATAAATCTACTATGAGCAGACCGTCCTCACACACTGGAGGGACCAGCATGCTCCACTGGCGGTCACGTTGCTGTAAGACGATCGTTCTCGCACACAGCTTTCAGGTTCCATGAGGTCCTGGTAAACCCCTGGCCGTTTGACTATCTTTATACTTGTCTGGAAGAGTCGTATAGATCTGTGGTGCCCAAAGTTGGAGTTGGGGCTGGGACCCCTCTGTGGGTCATGAAACCTCAAGTGAGGGTCCCCAGATAATTTCCACAAATACATTATTAATGGAATATTTTCACCAGAATTTTTGCAAAAAAATGAAAATAAATGGATAAAAGTGCTATCATAGTTATTAGATTTGCTAATACTGCTGTGCCCTTATTTGCATATATAAACCAGTAACATCACAAGTTTCTGAAACAAGTTATTTTGTTGGCCAGAAGCTAAGAAGTTTAAAGATCACTGATGTAGATGGACGTACGTTCTTGTCCAACTGATCCTCAGAGCTATCCCTGTTGTTTGGACGAGAAACAGTCGGCTTCTGGAAACAGAGTAGTTGAAGTAAAATGCTGCTATTGCCGTCAGAGAGCTTTTCAGCTAAACAAACACGCCCTCAAACTTCTGATCAACCGAGTCTGCAACCGGGTTCCAATTCTGCACGGGGGATTTGTGGCAAAACGGGGCAGGACGGTCGTCACAAAACTGAGAACAAAATTATGCAACTTTCATCACAGTTTTTGTTGCGACAATGAGTGAATTTCACAGCTTTGGGTGGAACATGCTGAGGGCTTGAGAGACAGAGAGACCACCAAGACCCCTGTGATCACTGTGAAGGAGTACAGGCTTCAGCAGTTGAGATGAGTAACTAAGCTACAACTCCTCGATCTTCACCAGCTTTATGGGAAATTGGCCAAAAAGCTGATGTTTGGTCTCATCAGACCACAGAACTTTCTTCCACATGCTGTTTGTCAAACTCGTAGGTTTAACATGCATTTTACAATGACTTCAAACATTAAAATCACTGCCCATCTAATACATTTTTGTTTTAATATCATGTAAACTGGTCTTTTTCCTCAAGGTTACACAACCAGAAACTCATACTCATATCTTTTTTTTCCTTCACCAAAACTGCATTTTTTGGTAACACTTTTTTATACATATCTGAGTTATTATGGCCAAGCCTTTAGTCAAAACACTCAGTAGCGAAGTATTTTTGGTGCATACTACGAGAACAAAAATGCAGCAGGAGACCTGTCAGCTCTTTACTGCATGTCTGCCTAATCTTTTTCCTCTTACTTCCTGTTTGAAATAAAAAGGGAAATCCACTGGAAATTAAAAATAAAACAATCTTGATTCAGTTTACATAACATTTTCCGTTAATTTATCAGGAGAAAACAACAGTCCGGTTTATTCCGTAGTGCTCATTATCCTCAGTAATAATAATAATAATAATAATAATAATAATAATAATAATAATAATAATAATAATAATAATAATAATAATAATAATAATAATAATAATAATGCATACAAAGCTTTGTTAGGACACTCAAAGATGCTTTACATTATTCATTAATTCACACACTGATGATGGTAAGCTACATTGTAGCCACGGCTGCCCTAAGGCAGACTGATACAATAATAACTGATTGCCTTTTAGTTTATCCATTAATGCCAGTAGTTGTATCAAAAAAGAAAAAGAAAAATCTGAAGCCACAACCTTTAAGAAACTGTTTTACAACATGAGTTGTTCTCTCCTGTTTGTAATGTGACCTGGTGCAGAGGGTGTGTGCAGCAATTAAAAAAGCAGAATGGAAACAAAAACAACACAAAGTTCAGCACATCCTTAAGTCTAATGTTAGGTCTACACATCGCACTAAATTCCATCACCATCTGCAGAGTTAACACAAGAGATGAAAACCATACAAGCTAGAAAAAAAAGGTCCAAACAGGTTACCTTAGCTTCTCTCCTCTTTGGGTGATAGGAATTTCAGGAAGGCAGTTGAAGCTCTCTGCAGTACACTAAAATCTGTTGACATTGAGAAACAAAAAGACAAGTTTGTGTTAGTCAAACAGATTACCTAACTACAATAATTGAGCTGAGCAGAGCCACACCAGCATAGTAAACAGATCCGGTCATCTGGGAGACATTATTTTTCTCTGACTTGTCTCACTCATCAGGGGAAAGATGGAACTTGGCCTGGTTCCTATAAATTCCACCTGTGAACCACAGTACAAGTTGTCCATTTATAGTCTAGTCTGTCAGGGATTCATCACGCTGCCGGAGGCCAAAACTACACTGGAAACATCCACAAGAAAAACAACGCTGGTGAGTGACACCATGGCATTATTTGGAAAAGTCGACCAACAGGCGATAATCACATCTATAAATAATCTCTGGTCCTTTCAGTGGGATCCAACTTTTCACTGATCATCTCACACTTCATTTATTTAAATACACAGATCCAAGCTGATGAAGGCCTGAACAGAAGACAGAAGAAAGCATGTGGATTAGATTAACAATTAATTAATAAGCAGCCATTTTTAAAAAAAACTGGAGTTTTCTCTTGAATCAAGAGGGTCTTCCCATAAAATGAAGGATTTTTTATAATCTCCTGAATTAAAAAAAAACAGAAGCACATAATACATATTTTAACAATTTATTTTGCCAGCTGTATTAAATACTGACTGAAAAAAAAGTGTATTTCTCCTACATGAAACATAACAGGAATTTAATAGGTTGCTGAATGAGGAAAATAGATTAAAATAATAAAATATGATTTTTAGATGTAAAACTAATATTAATTTATTATAAATAGAATTTATTTATATTTAACATTTATTTTTTTCCCTAATTCTTTACTTTTTGTTTCAGTCTTGTTGGTTCTGTTTGACTAAAATATTGTTCTGACCCAGTAACCGGTTCTGAAGCAGCCCCCCGTCCTGAACCGTTTTGTTGCTCAACAAATAACTTTGAGCCTCAGTCAGAAAAAACTGGAGAGTTTTTATACTTTTGGCCCCAGAGGAGGACGAAACGGTGGATTTAAGGTGTCCCTCCTCCCCCACAACGCAGCGCGCA